ACAAAACGTTAATTGCTTTCTTCATGTGCGGGCTATGAAATTCAGATTTATAGTTATTAATAATGGTAATAATAACAATAATAATAATAATAATAATAACAACAACAATAACATATCAAAGCAATAATTTATAAATATTTTAAAAATAACATAGCAAGGCGGTTAATTTCCGTGAACTGTTCCTGACGACACTTTTGAACAAAATGAGGTATAATTAATCAGAGTTTTCCGATATCCAATCATTGCCCAGTTTTGCTTTTACTCGCCTATTCCATGCTAATTTGAATTCTTAAAAGGATTTAAAGCCTTAATGGATATAAGAGATAATCCAATGAATGCTTAGTTGATAAATTATTGAAACGACGACGGCGACGCCGTGGACAACGTTGGTTAAAAAATGAACTTAAATTTTACCCACGAATCTCGCGATACTCTAAAGTCATTTAGTTTGTTTCTCGCTGTCCAAACTACCTCAGAACTGAATATGGAACACAGCGTTTAATTAGAAATAGAAATTTGAAAAATTAGCCGTCGTCGTTCACGTTCTCCAGACAACGCAAAGTTTGGTCATTTCCCGTTGTTGTTTTGCAAAGGACACAAAGAAATTTACAAAGCTCGTGCACAGCTATTGTTTTGCTCATGAAACCTTTTATTTAGTGACGTTCCCGTTCCCGTTGCCGTCGTGGTTTCTTTAAGCTCCCTGATCATTACTATGGCGATTCATTTGTTACCAATGAACGATGTTTTTACCACTTCTCGTAGCACGTGGACCGGCATGACGTCACTCGCTTTGGGATTCACCTTCTCCCTTCATCTTTCAGTCGTGTTAACCCCTCCCCACTTAGATCCTATTACTAACTCTCCTTGACGTCTGCCATAAAATTCTCATGATTTTAGGTTGAAGAATTTTTAATGAGATCACCTAATAATCCCCTAACTGAAACTTTTCTTTATCCTCGTGCCTTGTCTACTTGTTATTGGAAAGAGAAATGTTGTGTTGACACTCATGAGAGTTCAAGGGTTAACGGCATCACGCGCGCGCGCACGTTTCATCAACAGCTTCCAAAATATTTTTTCAGTTTTTGGTTCCATGTTATTCTCGGCAGTTCACTTTTGCCGGATCTCTAACTGTAAGACAGTTAGATAAAAGAAAATTAATGAAAAAGAATTATATTATGCATACTGTACGTTTTCTAAAATCGCGCGCCGACCACAAAATTTATATTTTATTCGGATTCAGTCCCCTTCTATTGCTCTCGCACATCCAGGAGAAAATTAGAGACATAAGTATCGTAATCACAAGAAATTAAAATATTTCATACTTTATCAGTACAACAGTGGTTCAGCAAAAGCTGAAAGAACAAGCATATCAGCAAAAAGTAAAACATCTTTTGTCAATATTTACCCGATCTTTTTTCCCGCTTCTTTAGACTCGTAGATGGAGCAGGTATGCAAAGGTCCCGTATGTCCGGCTGCCTCACAAGCGGCCTTGTGGAACTGGAATTGTAACACGTAGCTTATAAAGTACCTGAGCAATAAAAATAAAAAAAGGAATTAAATTTGGTTGGTGACACATCCATCGGAAAAACACCCTACCCAACACAGTTTCTTGGGCTAAAGCCTCTCTTCAGAAAAACGAGGTGCGATTATTTAATGAAGGAGATTGGTGTAATACCAGACCCATACCTCTCTCCTTTTCTCAGTCTGCTGCTTCTTCTGCGCCGTTTACTATCAGGCAACGTTTCACTAATTGATCACCTGGAAAAAGGAAACAATTTATTCTCAGTCACCCTTGTTTCCCTTTTAGTTCATTCTTTCCTCGTTGTTGTTTATCAATTCCCTCAAACTGTCTAATTAAATAATTAGAAATTAAATAATTGTCTAATAAAAAACCATGCAGTTTATGAGCTCAAAATTTCCATCGCGCAACAAACAAGGCTCCGGTGATGACATGGTTCGAGCTATGAAGAGCAACTCTTTTCAAAAACTTACCAACCTGAGGGGAAACGAGAATTCCTTCGAATTAGGGGGAGTCCGAGTTATTAAAGGTTTGAGTTCCGCGGTTAACATTACAATAAATGAATGACGCCAGTCTGAGGGAAATCGATTTTGATTAGAGTTAGCGAGGGTTCAAGTAACAAAGGCGACACAGAAGAGAGGCTTAAGCCCTTCTCTCCTCCCATCACGTTTTGGTACGGAAAATATAATCAGTTAAACTAAAATATACGGTCTCGAAATCATTTCATAAATCATTTCATCAGGATCGCACTTAGCGAAATTGTTAACAATTATTCGCCGAAGTGGAGGTGAATAGTGGTGGATATTTACCGAGCCGCGAAGCAGCGAGAAAAATATATATCCTTTTCAACGACACTTGGATGAATATTTGTATTAGCATATATCACACAGATACAAGAAAATTAGTTTACTTCTTTCAATATACCGGAAAATGCTCAGAAATTTACTCTTGACGCGAAATTTTTTGTCTCAGCAAGCTCGGAGGTGAATAGTAATTACTATTCACTTCCAAACATGCCAATAAGCGCGCGTGAAAAGCACAATTCACCGGTGTGGTTTATACTAATATGTTATTTGACGTTTTCCAAACAACTGCATGCAAATATGCATGCAAAGATGTTTGGTGGAGATTGGCTTCCTGACCCCAACCCCCTTCTGGCCTTCCCTCCCTTCTCCCGGCAGTCGACTGTGAAGGGGATCAGAATCAACTCCTTTCCCGCTGGGTACATTACCCACCTGATGTATGGTGTATTAGCTGGAATGTGATATTTGCATCCGGGATCAAAGTAATTTTCTGTCCTTTCCACAGCAGGTTCTATTCTCTGGTGCTTAGTCCTCAGTTGTCACCACGCGGTATTGCAACTCTCCTCAGTGATCTTACCGCTAAAAACTTTCCATCTCCATTGGTTGATTAAGAATCTGAAAGGAAGGAAAGCCATCTTGCGCAGAGCCATCTTCATCAAGGCGTTTATGTCGGATTCTACAAACCGAAGTTCAAAGAAATAAAGCTTGTGCTTAAATTCACTCCGTTCACAGCTGTTTATCCAGCCGGTAAGCTAGTAAGCTTAAGTTTCGAAAGAAACTATGGTGTTGCGTCGGTGGGAGAGTATAACAAGGTAATTCGGTATTATCAACTGTTGATAATGGTTGATAGCGCGAATTGGCCACCGTCAAGAGTTTCAAAGCTGACAAAAGTTGATTTCGAGCGTTAGCCCCTTGTCATTCGCTCAGACGAAGGACTAACGCTCGAAACGTCAGCTTTGAGACTATTAACGGCGGCCAATTTTACGTTATCAACTCAGTTGATAATAACAAATGGTCTTGTTAGAATCAACAGTATTTGGGTTATGTGATAAAAAAGCAAAATGTTGTTGACGGTGATTTAGTCTATGCGTCTGTTCTCCTATATATCATGGGCATGAACCACTCAAAATGCGTATATAATTCAGCGTAACGTAAAGAGAGAAGAAATCTGTCGAATATACAGCTCAATCCATCCATCCATAGATCAGCCCTACTATTTTCACAGTACTTACAATTAATTGTTCCTCTGTAGGCGGTATTTCTTCCAGAAACATCTCCGCAAGAGTGTCATCCACATTAGCCACAGTTTCTAACAGCACTTAACAGAAGGTAAAAATAGCATCATGCAAATTGGTGCAAACTCTTTGTAAGAAGAAGAATAAGAACCTTTATTGATTTATACCGCTCAGGATAGCCCCTTCAGATGCAAAAAGCTGTCTGTTATCAATGGGAGCCCTGAGCCCAACAATGTACTAAAACTATGGTATGCATAATTTACACTGTTATTGAACTGCTAGTAAAAAAAAAAGGGGACTGTAGTGTTGCTCTGGCTACCTAATACTACATAAGTAAAAAATAGTAGTAACAACTTGTTGAAAAATGAATTGGCATTTGTTGATACAGTTTTAGAAGAAATATATTAAAATGTATTGATCTGTTAAAAAAAAATTTGTGTTTCAATATGACAAAATCATAAATCTGTACCATACTCTCTACCATAGTCTCTCACAGGTAACTGATGGAATCCACAGATGGGACTGTGAAAACCTACTTAAATCATTGGAGAATTTCTCACTTAACCCTTTAACTCCCATGAGTGACCAAGACAGAATTTCTCCTTACAATTGCAATACAATACCAACCAGACAAGTGATGAGAATAAAGAAAAATATAAATTTGGGGATAATTAGTTGATCCAATACTAAATTTTCTGAACTAACATTATAAGAATTGTATAGTTGACAGTGAGGAGAATTACAAATTTGATCTGGGAGTTAAAGGGTTAAACACTTATGATGGACAATTCTTAAGACTAAAGAACTTGGTATCAACTAACAATCCCCTAATTGATAATTTTTCTTCATTCTCATCACTTGTTTGCTTGATGTTGTATTGATATTTGTTGGGAGATTGGCCTAGAAAATTTTTCCCTTCATCTCGAGCTCTGATCCAATCAAGTTCAAAACTTGAAATAATCAGGACTTGATGACTGGCATTTTCCAACACTTAATTTTACTTCATTTCACGTTGAGTTCCTATTGGCTCCCTGTGATATTTTCCTTTGTTCTGATTGGCCATTATCATAACTCAAACAAAAAGAGTTCTGATTTGAAAAAAAAAAAAATACTCAGATTGTACATGTACCTATCAGCTCCTCTCTTCTTGTTGTACACTCATTGACCAAGTCTTCAAGGATGACACCTTCTACTACTTTGGACCTGTTAGTTAATTTAAATCAGCAATAGTTGTTTAACAATGAAAGAGCCAATTATCATATTTCAGATAAATTTTTTGGGAGATTTTTAGCTCAAGTTATGGCATCTTAAGAATAGCTGGATCAGGGTTATTGAATTTCTAGCCTTGTGATTGGCTAACAGCTTAATGAAAATAAAATAAAAGTCACATGAATGAATAATCTTACCAATGATTTCCCTCAAAGTAATAAGCCTTCCATCACACAAGGTCAATGACTACTTTTACTCAGATTCCAAACCAATTGGCAACTGGGTGAAGGCTGCAGTGTCTTGTAACTTTGCTCTGGGGAAAAATACATTTTTTCACTATTTTTTATAAGAATTCTCTTTGATATTCATTGTGTATTATCAGCCATAAAAACAAGCAATTTTTCCACATCCTCGAGTAATTTTCAAGTTCTAGTGAAACAACAAATATGAGCATACAAATTTAATAGTTAAAAAAAAAACAGATAAAAATGTAACAGGTATCTTCTCAAATATAGTGGATGATCTTTTCCATAGGTCTTGTCAATTCTTGCAAATGTTAAAGTCAATCCAAGGTTTTGACAGAGCCATAGGAATTCACTTGCAGCCTCACAGTTGACATGTTTAATGCTACACTGTTCAGGTCATTTTTTGCAAACATTTTTTTCAGTTTCTCATTTTTTATCTCCATAAATTTTTACCTTGTTCCTTCTTTACAACTGGATTTTAACTTTTTTATGACAACAAAATTTTCCACATTCTTTGCCATCTATCATCCATTCTGTAGACCTTATCATTTCAACTATTCTCAGGAATTATTTTTTTAAATTTTTCAGGGGTACACATTCCAATAAATTATCTCGCTTAGATGAAAGTTTTGGCCAGATGTGTGGTTTGTGAAGAATGTAATATACTGTTCCTACCCAAATGTGTTATCTTGATGTAAATACAAAAAAGAGCATTATCAATATTTTGAAAATCAAGATGCCATACTGGTCACATGTTCCTCTTTAATGTAAACAACAAAAAAAATCAAACAACAAACACTCCAACCATTTTTACCTAATTTGACTTAAAACTCTGGTTGGAATTGCTCCCATTCTGAAAAAAAGAAGGAAAAATATACATCACTTTTGGACTTTCATGTCATTCAAAATACAAAGCATATTCTATCAAGGAAAATTCTGAAAGGACTTTCAAGTGACAACAAACTTTTTGCCTCCCAGATGCATATGGTAGCTAATTTAATAAATTCTTATTGTTTACAGGATGGTCCAAATAAGGTTCAAATGCAAGACATCAAGAACCTAAAGTGCAGCCATTCTGAGAATTGAAGGTAAACTTTTAAATATCACACATTGCCAGCACCCGGTGCATTTATTTGAAATTTAGGACAAGATGAAGGTGCCTCTTTAAAAAAAGGAAAACCCAAAGGCTTCACTTGTTTTTCAAATTTTGGCCAAATATGACCTTGTCTCCGAAGACATTTAGGTATTGACAGTATAACTTTGTATCGATAATTCATTATCCAAAACTTTTTTCAATGATAGCACAATGCTTGGACTGTTATCATTTTTTCAACACAGATTTAAATTGAAAATAAGTGCCATAAATGTTCAAACTACAATTGCACACTAAACAATTTTAGAAAACCTGATCACTCATCTGTGAAAAAGCTTGAAGAAGGAAAGGTACTTTTTCCATTCAAAATCTAAATACTATAATACTAACATTGTTTACATCACTTAAGATACTGACAGTGCTCAAAAAACTACTTACAGTCCAACAGCCTTGTGCTGGGATGTACAAGTAAATGGTTGATAGCCTCACCTGGTGTGTCAGTAATATTGATGTTTGTATCTTTCCAGTTGACATATGTTGATGCAGACTAAAAAGACATATACAAAGAGTTGAATCTTCTTGAAATATATAAAGAATTTTATTTCATCATGCAGATAATATTGAAACACCATAATTTCTGTTGTATTTACCACATACCATCTTCACTATGCCCTGTGAACATACAGCAAAAAATGTAGCAATGTTGTTATGGTAACCATGTATACAATCTCCAAATTATATATTCCTATAGCAAATCAAATGAGGTTGAATTCGTGGGAGTTGTAAAAAGATTAAAGACGGATCTCTCTAGCCACAAACCAGGCTCCAATTCAACTGTGGTTTGTTACATACGGTGTATATGAATATCTTAAATTTGAAGTCACAATTATGAGCACTATTTAAGCAGCAGCAAAAATAATGCCTGAAAAAAATTCACGCCTGTACATTTGAACCCATGACCTCTGCAATACAAGTGCACTGCTCTACCAACTGAACTAACAAGCCAACTGGGAGCTGGTCATTTTGTTGGTTTGTAATAAACCCATAAAGTGATGAGTAAATGACTGTGAATATATATTCATGAATGTCATACATTTGAACTGTAGTTTATTAAATAAATCATAGAACTGTTACTTAATACCAACCTGTATGGTTATTCCTCGCTGTCGTTCCAGATCCATGGAATCCATAGTGGCTCCTACATTGTCCTTACCTCGCACCTGGTTAGAAAATAAGGATGAATACCAAACAACCAAATCTAATGCATGGATATATCAACACATCTTTCTTGGGCGAAGAATTTGTTTCTCATCAATAAAGTATTAAAAAAAACCTGAGATTTACTGTATTAATGCTTTGGAGCTACAGTGAGATTATGTATCTTGTATCTTCACATTTGTTTGTCATAAGAAGTCTGATCATACTGGTGAGAGTGGTTCCCTGAAGGACTGTTGTTGGTAGAAGTGACTCAAGTTTTAACAATACCAGTGTGTTACAATATAATCTAACAAACAGAAAGAATGCTATACACCTTAAGACTTCACTACTTTATTAAACAACTTTTAATATTTTTGATGCAGAGCAAGTCCAACAGGAAATACAGTAATTATCCTCAATAAACTTACTTAAGCCCACAACATTCTATGTCTTGCCTCACCACTGACACAAACTCACAGTTTTCTCCAAAGTTCCTTGAATTAAACAATCTTCACAGTAGCACTCTCTCTCTGTGTATAGCTTTCCAAGCAGTCATTCACTTCCAACAACAACAACTTCTACAACAGGACTGAGTCCTTATGGACATTTACAAAGTATTCTAGAACATTCCGGAAACTTACAACACAACTATTTCAGTGGACAGGTATTACATCATAACTACATGACCTAATGAAATGTTCTGTTATGTTCCATGGAATGCTTCTCAGCATGACAAAACATTCTTAGCAGAAAATGTCAAGATACTTATTTCTACAGTCACTATCCATAACAAGTGGAAGTCATAAAGTCATAATCATTCGACACAAGTGGTGACTTCCACCAAGGTTGTCAAATCATCAGTCTTTACTGCCGACAGCAGTCCTTTCCAGGCCTACTCTAACCCGGACAATCAGACAACACAATCAAATATTATTACTGCAAGTTGTCAAACCTTTCCTATTTAGAAATAATTGATTGCAGAAGCTGTGGTTTAAACTGTACATCAACTTGATATTAACAAAGTCTTTGTTTCAGAGATATTATCAGAACTCTCTTCAACCTATGGAAGTTTGACACCTCTTGAACTTTTAGTAAATTTCAATCCACAACACATGTTGAGACAGGGCAAAAATCACTATTTGTATAATCACTCAAAACCCATGGGATATTGGCTTTAAACTGTTTCAATATGTATCAAAATCCATTAGTGAAAAATTTTTTTTTTGGTCTTGTTAGAATTCCTATCAACCTACAGAAGTTTGATATCACTTAAACTTCAAGTAAATTTTGATCCATAACACACACTTAGGAAAAAAAACTGCAGTAAAGATTTCAACAGGAAACCACAGGGCAAAAATCATTATTTGTATAATCACGCAAAACCCATGGAAATTAAACTTTGAACTGTTAAAACAAACATCGAAGTCAATTAGTGAAATATTTTTTTTCTCTTGTCAAGAGAATGGCACTAAAAAACAATTTAGAGTCCGCAGGAGGAATAGAACCTAAGACCTTCAGATTCACCACTTTGATGATCTACTACTGAGTCACAGAGACTTTGCTGTGAGCTCAATTGTTACAAGGTCCACATGTGAGATGCATCCTGCAAAGTAGGATTGGTAATGTTGAAAGCATTTCTAAAGGCAAATCAAAGTCCATTGTTCTCACCTCATGCATTTGACTGATTCTTCCAGTATAAAACAAAAGTCTCTCTGTGAGTGTGGTTTTTCCAGAGTCAATATGGGCAGATATACCAATATTTCTGATTTTTGACACATCCTTCTGTCAAAAAAAGGAGACAATGTTACATGTATGCCCAATGTACACAGCTATGCCCAATTCACAAATTGAAAGTGGTTTAGCATGGTCTGTAATCTTATCGACAATGATATTCATTATCACAGAGATCAAAATTTGCTACAGACTCATGCAGCCCAGCCAGGTGAATCAGCAAAAACTTTTGAGCAATGTGATGATGAACATCATTGTATAGAGACCATGCTAAACCCCTGTCAATTCCTTTTTTACCACAATAATGATGTCAAACAAAATGATTCTTTCAGTGATAAAGGCATTGCATGACCAGTTGATGCAAGCAGCGTTGCTCATGCTATCAACAACAGCAAATTGGCCAATCAAATTGCAACATTACTGCTGATTGTAGAAAAGAAATGTTTCAAAAATACACATGGCATCCAGTAATAAAAAATTCCCCAATTTCAAGGGCCTGTATTCATGAATGAACACAAAGGAAAAAAATTTAAGTTTTCGCTAATTAATGTTAGTAGTAGCTGGAAATAGGGTAAAATAACAGGAGAATATCATTCATTGAGAATAAAAGATAAGGCTGTGTTTAAATGCTAGGTAGTCAAATATTTTCACAGAATTTCTACTGAAAGATTATTCTTTAGAGTATCAAATATTAGTTTAGAAATATTAAGTAATTCCAAAAATTATTTTGGCTTTTTACTACAGAGCACAAATTATCAGAGCAGATGTATACTATAAAATTGCAAGGTTTTCAACTACTCTGAAACATTTCTCACCTAGCGATTTCATAATGCTTAAAAAATTTGTCCTATAAAACACCACAATAATCTTTGGAGTTGCTTGGCATTCCTAAACAATCAGTAGGTTTGCAAGAGAAAATTTGGGGGAAATCAACATTACTTTACTTTAGTAATAAGAATTTGGTGTTTGATCAAGATACCAGATAAGTTTGAATATTCTCATTAACTGTTTGCTGGAGAATGCATGGATATTATAGGGAGAAGTGACATGTTAATCACTTCAGAGAGTCAGAGGGTTAATGAACAGCCTGTGAAAGTTACCACTGACTGTTGAACTCATAGGAACATTTTCACCGACAGTTTTGAAAGACTGTTGCTTGTAATAAAATAAATAAAATATATACATTTTTAACACCGGTGAAAATGTAGTCAAAAACTGTCGATCTCCTTGAGAAAGTTGAGCACTTACCGTTGCTTCAGAGGCAAAAAACCGAGCCTTCACCTACGAAATAAAAGCATTCGTTCGTAAGATTCAGGATTAATTACTAACCAAAGGAAACAAATACGAGCAACTTGTACTCCCTAATATCATATTGAACTCAATCTGGATTCATTATTTCCCATATTTATCAAAATACGAAAATAATCAGTTTAAAATCATATTACTGTTTTGATTTTTGATTCTCTCGTTCTAAAACTTCTATAACTTTCTGATTTTAACAAATCACAACCGATACGATAGTCCTAACTGTTTGAGAAAGATGTACGATTATGTAAGCTTTTCACTTCTTCGCGACTAAGGATTCTCGTTTAGTAAAAATTAACAAAAACTTAAATTACGGTCTAAACATCAAGGTTGCAAATCTTACATTACGAGAAAGAAGACGAAGTCCAGATCGCTGGATCAACAGTGTCGCTAAACCCATTTTTTGAGCTAAAACATCATAGTCCGTATATCTCAGGTAATCTTTCGAAGTAATTTCTACCAGGCGCACGTGAAAGGGATTTGCGCATGACCAGATAATGACTACTGCTGTTAACCAGTTTCGTGGGAAAAAGAGGAAGCCGGTTCCAAACACATTCCACGTACCATATCAAAATGTACATTTTAAAATTTATTAGAAACTTCAATTTTATATTCATAAGTGTTCCCAAGAGTAACCCTCCGTTCATTGGCGTTATGATACGACTTCTATGATACGACTTTTAAGATACGACTTTACGCGCCGCCATTTTTAAAAATAGCTGAGTAACAAGGCCCAATACCCGCAGAGTGCGCGGTTCAAGTTGGTTATTGTAAAAAACAGAAAACCATAATTTGAATCAAGAATAGTTTTACTTGTGACTCCGTCTCCTACGTGTAAATACAGATCACCAAAAGATCGATCAAAGTGACACTGTGATGAACTCGTGGATAAACTGTACAGAATATGATAATATATGGTACCGGATTTAACTAAAAGCCAATGACCCTGAAATTTCAAGAAATATAATTGAACAGTTATTCCCACAAGAGCCGCAACAAATTCATCAGCCATATTCAATTTAATAAATCGACACTCTTGGTCTGTACTCTTATCTACAACGATATTCATCATCACAGTGGTCAAAATCTTGAGGACTTACTTGGCTGCGCCTCGTGAGTTCGCAATAAAGTTTGAGCAAAGTGATAACAAGATGTAACAAATATCGTTGTCGATTAGAGGACTGACCACGCCAAACCACTTTCGACATATTTGTTACCACAATATTGACGTTGAATAAAACGATTCTTCCAGTGCGTGACTAGAGTTCGTGACTGTGCTCTTATCGACAACGGCATTCCTGCAAGTTGCGGTAAAATTTATTATATGACCCGTCCGGCCCTGCGTGCGTAATCGTAAAGCCGAAAAACCATGGAGAAAGCCGACGTGAAAAAGCAAAATAGCATAACAAACTATAGGCACATTAATACCACACATAGTTCTAACCCTTAGAAGCTTAGTCTTGAATGTAAATTTCAAAGTCTAGTGTCTGACAGAGAAACAATTCCAGTACTGGATATCAGAGCCCCAACTCAGGGACCCTATAATGGTTAAAAATCGGTGGTGGCGTCAGATCCACTTGTCTGACACCCAAATACTTGAAACAACAGGATCACATATCACCATCCAACATGGAGCAACTAACAATTACCGTTCCAGATATAGGTCTTAGCCTAATGTGGTTTCAGAAAAAACACAAAATTTCTGTGTTTTCTGAACAAAAATTGTGACCCCCTTCTATATAAAAATCTTGGATCCACCCTTCAAAATCGTCTTTACTTGTCAACATTTAATAACAGTAGTTCAAATAGTCGTAAATAAGTTCACTGTTTATTGTTACCATTCACATGTTCACTATTATTACATTTATTATTTCACTATTAAGTATTACACTCATCAAAACATGTAGGACTCACCTCGAGAAGGCAATTCATTGGCACCTAAATTAAATAATAAACAAAAAGAAGTGTTGTCTCTTTAAACCAATTTACTTAAGAAATTTACTTACAATCTGATTCATTTGTCTCAACTAATATTATGTCAGGTTCCAAAAATGGATAAAAAACAACAACAACAACAACAGAAAAAAAAACTGTAAATACATGATTGTATATGTGCTGGCAGTTATCACTTCCCTGTGCATTCAATTAAGTATCAACATCAAAATACAGTTGCACATGCAGTACTGGATAATTCTCTGTTCTTAGTTTAAAACAATTTGATGTGTTGCTTAATTTGCCCAGGAACATATATCAAATCACTTCAAATCACTAAATGGCAGATGTCATTAGCCTCTGAATTTTCCATTTTCTGGTTGTGTTACATAAACCAAGCTAACTATAGAAAACAGGCATGTTCACCTGGTTCATGAAGTGAATTGTCATTCATCAGCATCACTTGATTTAACCACAAGTTTTTTCTGCCACCACTTTAAGAGGCCTTGTTAAACTTACTAATACATAAACTTAAAATAAGGGTAACTTATTTCTCTATTTGTAAATTGTTACTGAATAAATGATCTTGATTTGTAATCCATACAAGAATATGCTATGGGAACTTAGATATAAGTCAGACCTATCCTTGTAAAAAGACAAGATTGAGAGAGGAAGCAATACCTGCATTAAAGTGAGGCCAATCTTGGAATATGACTGGATCATTCAAAATGTTGGCCACAACAGATGCTGCCATCACACAGGCAATTCGTTTCCATTTCTTACTTGAAGACTTCATTTCATCTACAAAGTCTTTAATGCCCTTGACTACCACCCATTCTGTCTTAAAATCATGGGCTGCAGCATACACTCCTTAAACAAAAAAAACACTCATGTCTGTTAATTATATTGCTAATTTTGGTAGAATCCTTAAAATAATTGTTCGATGAAAGCTTAAAAAGATTCACACTCTAGCTGTTTGTAAAAATGCACATCCCAGAAAGACATTAGTTAGTAACAAAATCTAATTTTTTTCAATCAGTACTTTAAAAAAAATTGTACACCTTGTTTCATAAGTAACTTTCAACATTTCACTCCTAAGATCTCTTTGGTAATTCTCTTTAGTGTCTGTCGTACAATTCCTATGATGTTACAGGTGGTGTAGTTGGGAGAATTTGGTTTTGGATCACCCAATAATTTCCTAATTGACATTTTCTTTTTCTTTTCCCATTACTTACAGTAATATAGTTGTATCTACTTGATATCATATTGATACTGTAAGGAGAAATTCTGTCTTGGTCACTCATGGGAGTTTCAGGGTTAACAGGGACTGATAGTTATTCCTCAACTCTCAAACTATTCAACAAAATACTTTCTACATTTTTCAGATAACAAATTTAAGACAATTCATGACATCCTGATGGAGCACATTCAATTTAGAAGACAGAAGAAGTCTCAGTCACCTCCACCTGCTAAACAATATTCAACCCCAGTCAAACACAAAACTACTATTATTATGCAAGATATAATTTCCACAAATTTCGCATGCTATAATTATGGTATATGCTATTTCTTGGACCAGCAGAGACAATACCAGGGCAGTCTTTTTCAAAACTCTTGCTTCAAATGCTAAAGTCCTTGACTCATCAATTATTTGAATTATTATAATTCTCACCTCCACCTTCCATTTCAACTGCAATTGCCTCAGGGTGTTTCCTAATCATATCTCTGTTTGCCTCCAAGATACTCAGAACCACTCCATCACAGTGCACTTTGGCATTATATTCATCAGCATTTTGTAAAGGTGCCTTCCACCCATCAGCCACATGTTTGATCAGCTTACCAATATCTCTACTAGGGGGAGTTTTGTGCGCAGCTGTTATCAGCTTTGCTGAAACAACCACATCTCCTAACTTGACCTTTTTGTTGTTCAAACCACTGCAGGCACCAACAGAAAAAATAGCCTTGGGTCTCAGTAGCAAGATGGCATCTTTTGAAACAGACAAAGAACCCCCAGGAACACCAGGAACTTTGCAGCACCTCATCAATACAATTTTCATTTTCTTTCCTTGATCATCACCCATGCACCCAAAGTACACAGGGCCAGTACTGATGTGGTAACTCTTAAAGGGTTCCCTCAGGTAGGCAAAGCAACTTAAGAACTCACAGTCCTCCACTGTTAGTAAAAGAATATCAACAAGAAGTTCAACATCGTTCCAAGTAAAAGAGGTTTCAGGAAGATCACTCATCAATGGAAGTGTAACATTGAGCTCTGGTGGGCTTGCATTCTGTACTGATGTAGTTTCCCTTGGCATCATTGCTGTCTCTAAAAAAGAAGAATGTAGTATTCTTTTTGTTTTGTTGTTTCCATTCATTTATTAGAAGTTATTAGCAGATCCGAAACAAAAATCAAATGGCAATGAAGAAAAAGAAAAGAAAACTTGTTATGAATAACAATTAGGTCAAAGCATCCATGACCCTGCATAAAACATTTCAAGTCCACACTAACTGATTAAACAGTACAAAATTACACACTGTCAGACATGCTTGAAGAAAAAAAAACACCTCTGAGTGCTACCCTTTTTTCTCTGAGTTTGCATGGTTGTGTCATTCACTGAGTTGCATCTTTCACTCAAATAATCAGGCTTTAAATCTATCACCTTCGGCACAGAATTATATTTTGACAACATGTATGAATTTTTTGTAAACTTCGTTCATAACATCAAGAAAAAAAACACAAAACTTTACTTACATATACAGTATACCAATTTCCACACAGAAATTTTGGACGTAATTTCTTTTATTTCATGACCCACTATATCTAACATTAATCACACAAAAGAGACAATTTAGTTAAAACTTAAAATTAACAAAAGTAAATCACACAAATCTTCCTTTCCTAAATTTTGTTCATATGTCTCAATGGAACCCTCCAGGTCATCTTCCTTCTTGGCCTTTTTTACCATTTCATCTTCATGTGATTTATCTGTGACACAGTCTTCATCCTTCAGCCACTCTCTGAAAAGCTCCTGGTAGTCCTCCTCAATATCAGCATCCATGCAATCAGTTTTAAGATCATTGATAACATCCTGATAGCGGGCCCCTCCAATACGCTGAAAGGTGTCTTTGATGTCATTCCAGTAGGAACTGAAAGTTGGATCATCAACTGAACCACCGGTAACATGACTGTAAACTCTGTCTCTGAGGATCTTGATGCAAGAGATGTCAGCTGCTGGAGTGGTGTCTGTCACCAAAGGAAGGTCATCTTGGCCAGAGGCAGGGAGAGTTAGACCAAAGATATTCCTCAGAAGTTAAATAGCAGCAGGGAGCTGTCAAAGTTCCCTGAGGAAATTGACCATTTGACAGCAGGATACAATTTGCGCCACTGGGAGGTACACAGGACTCTCTTCTTTCGAAGTGTTTGTAATTTGGCACAGTTTGTGGGATTTGTCAGAACTGTGTGAAGTTTTTCTGGTGGACATACCCTGTCAAAGATCTCCTTTAACACATGTGATCCAACTTCAACAAGAAGGCGACACAGCTGAGCATAGTTGGAGGTTCCTTTGGTAGAAGGATTCGATGGAGTGGCAAAGGCCATGAGGACATGTCTTCTGAAAAGAAATATACACACAAAAGTCATTATTTGAACTTCCCAGAGCCAAAATGTCATTCCACATACTTAACATTGAATTTATTGCCACCTGACAAATTTATACAACAAGTGTAATGTGTCATCCTTTTTAACCCTTCAACCCCTAAGAGTGATTGGCTTCTAATTTCTCCTCACAGTATCACTCATTAATCACATGCAGAGGTCACAAGAATAAAGGAAATGATCACCAATTTGAGAAGTTCCTGATTGTCAAACAAATTCTCCTTTTCTGTTCCATAGGAAATGTAAAGAGAACAGTGTGGAGAATATGAATACCAATGTCTGTTAAGGGTTAAAAAGGCAGATGGGGCAAGGGGAACACACACAATTCTGTGCATAAAACCCTCACAGTAATGTACAAATCTCAAGAAAATACACTGTTCTTCTAAAGACTCATTACATTTTTTTAGATTTTCCACACAAAAAACATGCTACTGTTCATTTCAATTAGAATCTTTTTATCCATTTAAGATTATTTCTAATCCAAAAAAGTCTCTTGAGTGATCAAACTTATAAAACAGCTTTCATTTGTCAAAACAACAAAAGAGATTCTTTCTGGCTCTCAGCCATTTATACATGTCAACCACATATTTACCATGCAATTTGCAATACTTAATTCCAAGCAATTTTGGTTTTGTATTTACTGTTCTGTGAAGAGAAATAAATTTCCATGGCCATGATGAAAAGAAGTTTCCATGTTTTTCCCCACAAGATTTGCCTCTAACATCCCTCAAAATTTCAGAAAAATTTTGAAGCACCCTGTGAGATCAGTTACTGTTCTTGGTAGCAAAAAAAGAGTCTGTACTCAAGCCTATTGGCCCCCTGTAGAAGGGGCTTGTCTTGGTTTCCTTAGCATAAAGCTAATACAATAATAACAACTCCCCCCTGGATGGGATGCCAGTCCATCACAAGGTCCCCCCCCAACCAGCATTTCATCAGGCTTCCCTAACAATTCACCAGTACCCATTTATACCCCTGGGTGGAGAGAGGCATGGGGAGAGTAAAGTGTCTTGCCCAAGAACAAAACTCATTGACTCAGGCAGGTCTTGAACCCAGACCTCTGGACCCAGAGTCCAATACACTGACCATAGGCAACAATATGTCACCCACTGTTGTTAGGAAATGGCAATGTTCATCACTGGCAAAAAATAGTATGATGCTCTCCTAAGATCACACTCCTTTCTTATTAAATATAGGCCTAGGTCACACTAGAGCTTTTTTGTTTGTTTAAGTCAAAAATCTGTCAACAAGTTGCATAAAATAAGAACAGCCCCCAATTTTAAAAACTTGCCAAATTTTTGCAGATCACCAAAATTCTCCTAATCTTCAAAAGAGCCATGTTGCTTTTTTTTTAACCATTTAGCTGTCATTGTATGTGAGACATGCATGTCTAGATAAAATTTAAGCTGGAAAAATACACTGTGGTCTGCTAGTGTAATTTGGGGCATGTGATGGCAGGACACAATACATGGTCCCAATCTCGAAACCATTACTCTGCCAGACGCAGAGACCTCAACTAAGGACAGTTTCAAAAGCAAGCTCTATTTGAGCAAAGTCTTTGCCTTCTATGTCTAAAATCTGATACTAGCTGCATAGAAGCCTGCTGATAGTGACTACCAACAATGTAAAAAAATTGCTATGTTGTTTTGCTCTGAAAGAAATGCAAGATTCCATTAAAACCTGAAAGCTGTGAAGATAATCATTTGACGACAATATATTCTTGCCCAGTAATTTGTGCAAGAATTTTTCTTTATGGGTTTGTGATTGATGTATGTGTCAATCAATGAAGTTTTGGTCACAGGATACCAGTTAGATGCGACTGCCACCAAAAATTGGAAATTGCAAAAATTTTGCAAATTTTTCACAAGCCACATTCACATGCTCTTAAAACAATTACTAATTTGATGGTATATCCCCTTTGAAAATAAACTCAAAACAATTATTTTTTTGGGCAAGCAATGCAGCATGGTGCTATAAGAGGAAAAGTGTTTCAAAGGTTTCTTTGTTGGTCTGCATGTACTCCATTTCAAAGACTGTAGGTATATTCACTGACAGCAAAGATACAATCACTTACCGTTTTCATAGTGTAAATAAAGAAAACATTAATGTTTTGTTTCTGATTCCATGAAAGTTATCTCCTTGATAAATATTGTTTGTGACTACACAACTTTCATGCTGAAACGCTCAATGTTCAAAGTTTTCAAGTTGAAGTTAGCAGTAACAAACATCATCTGCTGTGAGGCAGCTTGATTAGCTTTCGTATATAGAGAGAATCCACATTAAACTTACGCGCAAGGGAAGATCAATAACATTTCTTTCACACGATGCATATTCAGTTTAACCTCGCAGGAATTGTATAACTGTAACTGCATTATTTGTGGATCGAATCCAAACTACGTTCTGAGTTATATAAATTTTCTATCGATGCTGGCATCCAAAGTCAGTTGTTCGTTGCCCGTCAAAGCCTGAAAATTTTCCGAAAATTTGTCCGATGATAAGCATGTTTTTCGTACGCGTCTTTAGTTCCAAGAGACCAACTCTAACATGTTTAAATCCAGCCTAGAGAATCCAACCAAATTAAGCAATATGGAAACAAATAACGGATTCAACCTCAAAAACTGGTGAATGTAGACATATCAACTATTAAAATTCCCAATGGATTCGAAAATATGAACCTGTTTTCCAACAAACGGGAAGTGCTGACCGAAGCACTAAGCTACGTAGTTTAACAATTTGGCACAAAAGACACTATTTCCTCGCTAGTAGTTTCAGGAATCGAGGTGAAAAGTATATGGTAAATCAATGACTCTACCTTGGCGAGAATCGTCTGCTTAACAACGTAAAGTAAGTCTCTCGAAGTAGAAATCAACCATGTTGGGCAGCCAAATCCGTGCACCTTGCATAGTGCTTCTCAAACTTCACTGATCATCTGCCTCTATTTCAGCCATTTTGAAAGTGTTAGTTTCCGGGGCCTCTTGTTTAATCTGACTTCCGGTCATTTCTATTTCCGCTTCCTCATCTTTTAGTTTTATTGAACATCTTTTAGTTATATGAGGTCACGCATGAATGAGTCAGGAAAGCGATGTATGCTGCACAACATCGATGTATGACATCCAAAATCGATGTATTCCGGATGAAATTGATTTATTTAATTTAACATTAATGTATCCATGTTCGATATTTTGTCCGTATAAGAACCTGATTCATTTTAGAAGGTTTTTAGTGATCTGGGAATTCCGTGTTACAGGAAATTGGGTCGCGTCAAGGTTGAAAGGCGTTGCATCAAGGTTGAAAATGGGCCTTTAACTTGTAACTGTAGGATAAAAAGAGGCTCCGAAAACAACAGTGAAATAAACAAATTCTCCCAGAGTACCATTCTTTTTTATTATGATAGATTAAGTATGCATCATTGCAACAAGATTTCTTTTCCAGATTGCAGGAAAACGCGTTTCTGGGAGACTTATCTTTTAAAAAATTTCCCGGGGGAGCATGCCCCCGGACCCCCCTAGAGGTTCGGGCCTTCGGCCCTCAATTTTCAAGGGAACCTGCCTACTTTAAAGGCAGTGCCCTTTTACCTCAAAGTTGTTTAAGTTAGCGTCTTGTTCACTTTGATTGCCTCAGCAATACATGTAGCAACCGCAGCACTAATACCATTACCTAGCAAACACAAATTGGTTAGCGTCTTGTTCACTTTGATTGCCTCAGCAATACATGTAGCACCCGCATCACTAATACCATTAAAAGACAAATACACATTGGTTAGCGTCTTGTTCACTTTGATTGCCTCAGCAATACATGTAGCACCCGCAGCACTAATACCATTAAAAGACAAATCCAAATTGGTTAGCGTCTTGTTCACTTTGATTGCCTCAGCAATACATGTAGCACCCGCAGCCCTAATATCATTACCTCCCAAATCCAAATTGGTTAGCATCTTGTTCACTTTGATTGCCTCAGCAATACATGTAGCACCCGCATCACTAATACGATTCTTAAACAAATACAAATTGGTTAGCGTCTTGTTCACTTTGATTGCCTCAGCAATACATGTAGCACCCGCAGCACTAATAAAGTTCTTAGACAAATCCAAATTGGTTAGCGTCTTGTTCACTTTGATTGCCTCAGCAATACATGTAGCACCCGCAGCCCTAATATCATTACCTCCCAAATCCAAATTGGTTAGCATCTTGTTCACTTTGATTGCCTCAGCAATACATGTAGCACCCGCATCACTAATACGATTCTTAGACAAATACAAATTGGTTAGCGTCTTGTTCACTTTGATTGCCTCAGCAATACATGTAGCACCCGCATCACTAATACCATTAAAAGACAAATACACATTGGTTAGCGTCTTGTTCACTTTGATTGCCTCAGCAATACATGTAGCACCCGCAGCACTAATACCATTACCTCGCAAATCCAAATTGGTTAGCGTCTTGTTCACTTTGATTGCCTCAGCAATACATGTAGCACCCGCAGCACTAATACCATTACCTCGCAAATCCAAATTGGTCACATTCAATCCAGTTCCAAACGACTTCAATAAATGCGAGTGAAAATCACTTTTTTCTCTTTTGCATTCGTTGATGGCCTCCAATACAATTTTTGCACCACCGCCTTCATCTTTGTTGACTTTATTTGTTAAACTCTTTACAAGAGCCACAACCTGTTCATCGCATTTCATGGCCAAAATTCCACATGAAAACAAAAGTATTTGTTTAAGTTTAACGAAATACCTTGAATCGGAAACTAGTTCTTCAGGTTTCATCTCCTTGCTTTGAATCTGAGAAGAAATGAAGAATGCTGCAAAGAATTCTTGAAAACTTTTATGTAAGAAGGCATAGTGCAGTGTTTGTCTCAGTTTGCTGCCACCAGACTGCACTGACAGAAATCCAAATTCAGTCAGGTCTTTTGCATGGTTTCTCAATTCACTTTCATTAAAATCCAACTTATCGTCAAGTAAACCATTCAACGCTACCTTTCCAAGGTGATTCAATTGCGGTTTGTAATGGTTTGTCAAGTCTTCGATCTTTTCTAGTAGTCCCTTCTTTTTTCTATATCTTCTCAAAACACATTCAACCATATCCAAGTACAGTTGAGCTCTGCTTTCGGGGAGTGTGCCCTCAAACTCTTCGCATAAAAGGCAAAGAAGTGCTGTGTTTAGAGGATTGGCCGCTATTTCTCTCAGGTTTTTATCTCGCGACATCCGTTGCGAGAGCTTGGTGGCTAAATCCGTCCTTTCTTTAAAGTACTTGGTGACAAATTCTTTCACATGCTCTTCAGTAAATCCTTCGATCTGAAGCAGCACGTCACAACATTTTCTCACCTCTTTTCCAGCTTCGTGTCTTGCTGTTGCAACTATGTGGCATTTGGGGAGCACTCTTCCTTCAATTAATTCGGAAAACATCGACAATTTACTGGACGGTAACTCATCCAATCCATCCAATATCAATAAAATGCTGGACTGATTTTCACGAATAAAACGAAAGAATTGTTGTTTGACTTCTTCATCGATGTCTCGGGGCAGAAGCTGATCATCAATAGCTTCCCAAACGTCAGAATGGATATCTCGACATTTCAGAAACAATACCACTTTAAATGCTGTTGAGCCGCAGCCCTGAGGTTCTTGCTGTTTTGTGGCCCAGTCGTAGGCGTACTTTTTACAATAAGTGGTTTTTCCCATACCAGGTTCTCCTTCAATCAACACTGTTCTCGGCGCTGAACACTCTTCATACGGGTCTAGTATTGATGACATGTCAACAAATACGTCAGTGATTTCTCCTCTCGTTTTCTTTCTTCTGACCACTTTGAGCCTTGTAAAAATATTGCCAAGAAAAAACTGAAACTCTTCACACCATGGAAATGGTGAGAGCCATCCCTCGCGAGTATTGTATCGCTGGCGAATTCCATTGATAAGCTCAGTCGAATCAAAAATACCTAGCAGTAGCAAAATAAGTAAGAAATCTAATGAATGCAGCATTGAAAATTGTGGTGCCTCTCTGGTATTCGACACTGGATTTAAATAAGTGAAAGAGTACGATACCGTTGCCAAAGAAATTACTTGGACGATGCAAAAAGCTTTTAGTGTATGATTCATGCTTGCTGATTAAAAGCCATTTAGATTATGAATTCAGGTAAACCTACTCTGTTTGTTCGGCTTTAAGGGTGTCTGACAGTGAAACTCTGTCGTAAAATAAATTACTCGGGAGATAAATATTCATATCATTGGCGCCGTAGTCTGAGAAAGGCTTTTTCGGGATATACCGAGACTACGAACAAATAAATGGAAACCAAACAACGCCTTTGTGCCTTCTTTGTCACGCGGTTTCATCAAAAGTGCTGCAGAAAACCGGGGGCTCGCCTGCGATGAAGTGAGAGGTTTTTCCTACAGTCTTTTCCTTAGGAACCTATTTTACTCAAGACGATCCTCATTCAACTATTTTCCCATGTAGAATTGAATACTCCACAATATGAGCGCAGGAAGGGTTTAGTTATTTTATTCAGAAATATGCAGATTACATCTAATGCTACTAGGTATTCGGCACTGAATTTAAATTAGCGAACGAGTACAACCCACTGCCAAAGAAATTACTTGGACGATGAAAAAGGTATCAATGTATGATTCATGTCAATTTACTGACCAAAAGCTATTTGGCTTGTAAATGCAGTGGAACCTGCTCTGTTAATTTCTAACATCGAGCCGAACTTAATGCCAATGTTTTCGTTAAAACTGTACTTCGTTTTATTTCGTTCTCCACTCTAATCAAAATATAAAGTTTTCCAGGCTAATTACGTGTGAAAGTTTGAACAATTGGAGGGAATGAAAGTACATACAGACCATGTTGACATGCGAAATTTGCAGTTAAGCAGGATAACTTTTATTGTATAATTCAACTTACCTTCATCCTTGCTTTCTCCCACTGAGGCTGTCAAAGTACACAGCTGTTCCTTCACTTCTTTCAGTTCTCTGTCCATCTTTACCATTTCGCCTATCATTTTCTCAACAGACCCTTTCGTGGAATAACATTGGAACTTTTAGTCCGAGTGAAAGTCACTTTATTCATTAAAAGTTAACTAAATAGATCCTTTTCCCTTCCTCTGTTGTTGTTGTTTTTAAATTTTATACAATATTCGAAAAAAACTTATGGCTCGGCTACAGCGGTTTCTGATAGTGAAACTCGAGAGATAAATATTGATATCATTAGAGTCGATAGTCTGAGTAAGATTTTTGTCGGTAAAAAAGACCATTGTAAGAACTAATTAAAAAAAAAACAAAGAACGCTTTTCCGCCCTCGTTTTCACGTCGTTTAATCATAGAAAAAGGAAAACGCTGCAAATGCATTGTGAAGTTTCGTTCACAGTTTTTCGCTTGGGAAAATTAAAATAACCACATACGCCTTCTCCTGCCCCTTTTTACTAACACAGCCCTCATTCATAAATTTTTTCCATGTAAAATAGAATACTCTACAAAAAATTTGAGTGGAGGAAGGATTGCATTAGTCTGTTCAAGAATATGCAGGTAAAATCTAACGAATTAGGAAGTTAGATTCATTATGTCCTTAACAAAAGTAAAACTAAAATAAGGCAATAACCCTTCTCGGCCAAATGTGTATGAGTGCTGTCAGAAAGCTATCCAATCTGAGAGGTAACCTGAGATTCCGTGCCATCCCATTCATCCCACACATTATCTGGTATCTTCATTTAGGTTTAACCTAGTAGCCAAGGTGTGCTCTTACAACAATACATTACCTGAAAAGTGTACTCAAGTTAACGGAACGGAATCCCTATTGATAGTTCAGTTTATCTGTGAGTAGCTATTTCTAGCAACCAACCTTCATCTGTGCTTTTCTCCACTGTGGTCGTCAGGCTACAAAGCGTCTCTTTAACCTCCTTCATTTCAATCTCTATCTTCTCAGTTGTGTCTCTGAGGTCACTTAGCGAATCTGCATTAGTAAGAAAGATAAGTGCAATTTCATAAGCACATTTACATCACAAATTCACATAAACGTGCAGATAAACAAAGATACCTATGTCAATATCTACTCGATTCTGAACAGATCAAACTCAATAAGACGCTTAGAAATCACAAAAGTGCACTCCAGCAGTTGTCCACGAGTACCCACGAACAGACAAAGATACTGCCGATGAAAACACAGTGTGGACATTTGGGTTTAATTCTTAATTTTTCACACAAAAATGAAAACATGAGTTACCCTGCATTCCTGTGTTTCATCAGGCAAAAAAAAAAATCGCAGAGGAAACCTAGAGACCCGTCTGCAATGGAGTGGGAGGTTTTGCCTGCAGTCTTTTCCTTAGGAATTGTAAAATAACCACATACATCTTGTTCTAACCCATTTTACTCAAGAAGATCCTCATTCAACTATTTTCCCATGTAGAATTGAATACTCCACAATATGAGCACAGGAAGGATTTGGTTATTTTGTTGAGAAGTATGTGGGTCACATCTAACGCTACTAGGAAGTAAGATTCATTACGAGAAAGGTGATACGAAAAAAAGAGACGATAACTACGATCATACATATGTATGAGTGCTGTCAAAACACCATCAAATCCTAGAGGTAGCCAGGGCAGAATCCGTGGCATCCCACACACTATAGAGTATCTTCATGTATAGCCAGTGAGTGGTGGCCAGGGTGTGCCTTTATATCAGTAAAGTACCAAAGTATGCTGTGTTGGCCGACATCCAGCGATTACCGTCATCATGCACAAGAGCTGTGTCATTTGCTCAAAAAAACAGTGACGCTCTTCATAACTTTTTTTTCTGAGTAGCTCTTTCTACCAACTAACCTTCTTGTGTGCTTTTTTCAACTGAGGCCGTCAGACTAGTAAGCTTTTCTTTCACCTCTTTCATATCAATCTCTCTCCTGTCAGTTGTGTCTCTGAATTTTCTCTCCATAATGCTTCTCATGTTTTCCAGCAAATCTGAAAATTTCAAAAGGTATGCGCATTTTCATAAGCAAATTTATATCACTGCTTCACGTTTAGGTGCAGATAAAACAATAAAATCTAATTCAATATCTAGTCGATTCCGAACAGATCAAACTCAATAGGACGCTTAGAAATCACAAAAATGCCCTACAGCAGTTGTACACGAGTACCCACGAACAGACCAAAATACTGCAAATGAACACACAGTGTCAACATTGGGGTTAATTCTTCATTTTTCACACATGACGCAAAAATACCTTCCAAATATAAGACTAGTTCCAACCAAAATGAAAACTTCGTGAGCTAGCCTGTACTGCTGTGTTAACTGAAAATATATACTTTTGTAGCCTTCTGATTCATCCACATTGGCAGTGGACAATATTTTTCTTACCTTCAATTTCTTCAAGCTTGTCTTTGATGCTGTCGTCGTCTTTCTTCCATTGTTTCATCAGTTCACGATAATGCTCCTCGATAACTGGATCCATGCAGTCGTGCTCAAGATTGTTGATTTTAGCCCTAAAATAAGCTCCTCCCAGTCTCACCAAAGCTTCTCGTATTTCGTGCCAGTAAGCACTGAAACTACTGTCATCCACAGAGGCTTGAGGAGCATGGCCGTATACAGTGTTCCTGTAATACTTCACTCGAGCGATGTCATCTTCGGTGCGTATGTCTGTAGCTGGGGGAAGCTCATCCCATCCCTTGGTAGGAGTGGGCAAACTACAGATATTTCTAAGCAGCACTGTTAGGAGTGTGATATCGAAGTCTTTAGAAGACACGGCTTTGTGAGTAGGGTACAACTTTCCCCACTGCGTAGGATTCAGCACTTTCTTCCTCCCTTTGTACAGTGATTGCAATGTGGCGTAATGCACTGAGGTACTTCCCAAAACTGTATGTAGAGTCGCTGGTGGATGTATTTTGTCAAAAGTGGACCGAAGCACCTGAGATCCAACATCCACCAGGAGGCGGCATAGCCTTGCATAGTTGGTAGTCTCTTTCGTAGACGCAAATGGCGAAATAGCTGTAGCCATAATTCTAACTTTTCCAGGATGACCTGTCAAACAGAGAATTGACATTAAGTAATGTTAATCAAACCTATTCGAAAAAAAAAAACTCCCGATAGCCAATTGAGAACTCTTGAGCAAGGAACACCAACGAAAGAACCTAATAAGAGATTTAATCTGAGATTTTTCATTTCAACCCAATTTTTAGATTAAGAAAGAGTTTTGTTTTTTCAGTTTACAAAGTAACAACCAGAGACATAAACAGCAGAAATGAGAAGCGATTTGAAAGGTTAAGGGAAAATGAGTTTGTATTTCCTCTCTAGGGCCTTAAACCCGGTCAGTTCTGGCTGGTTGACGTTTGATTCTTAATCATCGTAATCATCATCATCATCATCATCATTTTATTTGGTAATGCAGGTTACAAATTGGGAGCCAGGAAGGCTGATGTGGACCTACAAATCACTAAAATAATTAAATGATATATACTATACTGCTAAGATAAAAAACTAATCTAAAAAGAGGAACAATGTTAAAATTTAGGAGAATAATAATAATACCCTATTTCGCTTAAGAAGTATCTAATAATAAAAGCAATCATTGCCAGCGTAACCATTATACCTAAACCTTAAAACCTCCATAGCTCTAAAACGATCCACAAGCAGACACAAATATATAAATTACAGTAAAACATCAAAGCAAGACTGCACAACCTCCATTTACCACCCTGCAAAGATCACTGCTACAACTTGGTCACTTGAAGAATGATTGCAAAAGCATCATCCATCACCATTCCAACAAGGACAAAAACTACATAATCAGAAGCAAACTACACTATGCTAGGGAAAATTGTCGTCAATATGGGAATCAGTCTGTTACCAGGTCAGTTAATAGACCAACTCCGTGACTACACCAGGAAATACCAACACAACAAATACGGGAATTATATTACTTCAGGTCACGGTGTTTAGAACAATCACTAAATATCAGCCTACAGCAAGAAGGCACCATTTAGAAACACTGGTTATGGGTCAACTTGCCAAAACTCATGCTACACACCCTAACTATCCCAATTTTCATGGTATTAGGCAATACCGGGTATTAATCATTCCTTTCAGTGCAAAACTAAATGTAATTCCTTACAGGTATATCACCCAACATGACACCAGGTCTCCCTCCCAGCACCCACATTCCTGAATGGAGGAGCAGCTTAAAAGGAATTTGAAGATTTCCTCCCTAGTCGCCATTTCACTATCGCAGCTGGAGACATTAAAAGCACTTCTAAAACTCCGTCAATTCATGGTTTCTATACTTATTGATGATCAGACCAGTACAGCCCTAGAAAACAGATTGCACAGTCACTGATATGAAATGCACCTTTTTAAGCTATGTACTAACTCTACCAGATGAAGGTAACTCTAATTGTCACCAATACAATACAGAATCATTGAAGCTCATGTACCGGTACAAAACGTGGTTTCTCAGTTCATTAAACTCTGAAACAATAACATCTAAGTCAACAGACTTAAAAGTCTCCGTAATGTTATCACCTTCATGAAAAAAATGTGTCCACTGGCAAAAATGTGTGTGTCTAACAGCAAAATCCACCTCTTGCAGTTATCAATACAATAAGGGCAAAGAAACTCAACAAACAACCTTGTTCTACATGCAGCATCAAAAGGAAGGGGATGCAACCTCCATCTGCAACTAAAACTGCAATGAAAAAGCAGCTAAATGTGATCACAAGCATGCAACAGACCTGCACAAGCATCACCCAATCACCATGCACTCTCATGAGGTTCATATCTAGCACCCCTACCACAAACTGCTGGCAGGTCGTCAACCACTGACATTCATTATTCTGTCAACCGAAATAACGAACTCTGTGACTACACCTTTTCCTTGTTCCTGGGTAAGAGAGGGGAACTCAGACTGAATTAGTAAATTTTCTCACTAACAACCTTCAGTTGTAAATTATCTACCCAATAGATCAATTCGGCATGAGTGACACTTATTTTTACATCTCCAATTGGTGTTCCAGTGCATTAATCCTTACACGAACAAAGCCCTAGACATCAAAATAAACTGCAGCCTTGGTATACACCACCACTTTCAAACAATTACAAAGTCCAACAATAAAAAGAAGCTCTGGCCACTATTATAAGGATAAGTGCAGCATTACTATCCATTTGGCACCAATGCCATAGCCATATTTTCTAGCTGCTCCTGACCCATAATTATTAAAGCAAAACAAACATCTAAACACAGCTAGCACCTGGGGTTGCAGTGCTTGGAAGTTCAAATCTCTCATCACCTAGCACCTTAAACAATCAACCAGACAATCTTGAACATATGGTTACCAAGATCCTTTTACAAAGAAAGATATACATCTATACAATTGCATGATCAGACTGAGTAATACGCATCCATCAATTGGCCACTCCTAGAATGACCATAGAAATTTCAAAATAACAGTTGTTATAGAAAAATTGCTGAGGCATTATCCATCACCACTCCCACAAGGACAAACTATTGATAATAATCTTGAAACAACATTGTAGAGGGTGATAAACCAAAATGATCATCATCCACAAGCACCATGCAACACACCTATTTGGGGATTTTAAATACATCATGTACTGCTCTATAAGTGGGTGACCAACAATTGCATAATTGATAAAAACCAGTGCACAATCTCCTTTAACATAATGCATACAAGTATAAGTCAGATCAACCACAAGTGAAAAATCTCTCAGCATAAAATCAGGTTTCCCTAACACTTCACCAAAACACTAAGCACCATACAAATCTGCAGAACACAGCCCACAAGTCAGTTATATCTGAGAGAAAAAACTCTCTGCTAGCTGCCCTGAGGCAACTACTTCAATTAATAAAACTGAAAAGCTCCATACATGCAATCACCAGGACTCACATGCAAGAATGGTCAATATATACACTCGCATGAAACTTCTCTTAGCCACTGCAGCCCTACAATAATGACAGCAACCAGACAAACACTTAAATAACTGCAGAGCTTCCAAAGAATATCGTACACCTCAACTCTCAAAAGTAGATCATCTATGTAATGTGCATCACAGTAACTTCATTTTGGTAGAATATTGATCAAAACCAGTAAAAATTAGTGCACACTTTACTGTTTGATCATCATACAACACCTGCAGTTCCATGAACAGACCCAAAATTGTACCAATGTCATTACCATTTTTATATTAAAATAACTATTTCTGGTATTTCCAAATGTTTGTAGCCAAACATAATCACAGCCATCAATCACAACATAATTAAATGGGTAATTAATATCATGCACAGTTCTTGATATAACATAAATACCAGGCAAAATAATAAATAAACACTCACAGTACAGGTTTCTAATGTGACACTCGATTTTACATTGGAAGAGCCCTTAGGGTTACTGATAATGAGGTTGAATTCAAATTTCTTCATCAAGTTGTGAAAACATTTAACTAGCCTCTAAGGAGCAATATTGATATTGTCCACAAGAGAAGAGTCTACTGTGGCTCCAAAGAGCTGAAAGGCATTGGACATTTCAATGTTCCAAGTCTTTCATATATCGAGAGGCTTTTTAAATATCTTCAAAGAGAAAATGTTTGCAAATAAATGATCAAATTTATAACTGCAGATTGCAGTAGTTAAACACTGCTTTAATTACTAAACTTAGATTGTTCTGAACTTTTTGTGAGAGTACTATTCCCGCAAAGTCAACTTTCAGATTACTATTTTTTTAAACAATTTAGGGTCTCCTTAGCCCAAAAATTCATGATTAGGCTGGATATGAAATATTTTAAATTCCACTATTTAGACAGTTGTAAAATAGAATAGGTCATGATGGTTTTGGTTATTTTTACCATCTTGTTAAAATTGCTCTCGCCATCCGATGAAATATACTTTTACACAAATGTTTTGGCTGTCAATGGCTATATGTAATGGCAATTTATGAATATCTTGAACATTTTGGATTGTTTACATGATCTTCGTGATTCATCCAGCACTGGGTTAGACTTTGCGCTTCAACATCTGTACTACTATCAAAAGTAACCTCTCCACATGAAAAAAATAACTTATGCAAAATCACCATGGTAGCCGCTAATTGCCAAAGGGTACCTTAAAGGACTTAAGTTAGGTTTAACTTGGCAAAACCTATGATAGACACTTTGCATGAATGTACTAATTTCCTAAGACATGCAAGCATGGGGTGATAATTGCTAATCCATATGTACTTTGTCAAGGATGGAACCAGATCTCTGCATAAGATCTTCCATATTCCTGTTTTAGGAGGGGCGCTTAAACTTTGATTTGACATTGACCCAAAATTGAGTTTCCTAAATGTTAATATTCATAAGTCAACATACAGTTAAAGCACTCTACAAACCCAGCTGTACTCAGTAATTAAACCAGCAGTATATCAGAAGGACCACCAGAATTTCAGCAACATTTTCTAAGAGTATTTCCACTTGTTTGTAGCCAAACATAATCACAACCATCAATCATAACATAATTAAATAGGTAATTAATACAATGCATGGTTCTTGACATAACTTTACCAGGCAAAATAATTAATACTCGCATGGATATAAAAGAAATGAGAGCATGTAGAATTTTAAACATATGCAAACAGGACACAATTAATCCCAGCAAATAAATTATTAACTCTTTAATTCCCACATCAAATTTGTAATTCTCCTTTCTCCCAACCGTACAATTCTTGTTATGTTAGTTCAGAGAATTTAGTATTGGATCAACTAATTATCCCCAAATTTATATTTTTCTTCACTCTCATCACTTACATGTACCTGGTTGATATTGTGTTGATATTGTAAGGAGAAATTCTGTCTTGGTCACTCATGGGAGTGAAAGGGTTATTTACAGATTGACAAAATGAAGGCAAGTTTCAAAAATTGGGAAAAAAAAAAGAGGAGCAAGTCCTCTTACCTTGTATAGAGTTTCCTCGTTTCAAGTAAATAACCCTTGGAGCAGGGATAAAGTCAGAAAGTCTGAAAATGGAAGCAGCAGAACAACAGTTACTATATATCAGT